CCCCCCCCCCCCCCCCCCCCCCCCCCCCCGCGCGCGCTGTGGCTCCCTGTCAGCTGTCTGGCACCGGCCCTTGCCCTCCAGCTCAATCCTCGCCTGCCCTGAGAAGAGAAGAGTGACGGCAGCAGATTCCAGAGCGAGAGCAAAGTGCCCCTCTATTTGCCTCTTCTTCTGGCCCTTATTGGTGCGATGTGCACCTTGGCCGCTGGAGAGATTCCCTGAGACAGTGGCTGGGCGGCTGCAGCTGATGGTGTGCTTTTAATTGGGGAGACACCATCTCCCCCATTGTGAAGCACGGTAAGTTTAAGTGTGGTGCGCAAGGTGCTGTAAGAGCTGCGAGCAGCCATGGATGCGGCGAGAGCAGTGGCGTCAGCCACAGCCGGCCTAGCCCAGCGCAATCATAATGCAAAATCCTAACCCTTCAGCTCACCACAGAGTAATCATATTTTTTTTACTTTTCTTTTGAAATAATTAGTTGCTCTGTACTGTTTTCTTGTGGCTGATTGAAATCTGCCGATATTTAAGGGTTCGGATTGGCTGAGAAACAGAAGAAATAATTAAATGAATGAATACATAAGAGTCTCTAAACACTAGAGGGAGCCAGGAGGATGCCTAATTTTAAATTGTTGTTGGTTGCAAAACACATTCTTGATCAGTCCTTGGAGATGATTTGTCATTTTGTGAATCAACTAAAATATAAAATAGAATAGGAAACAAAAGTAGATGTAGAAAATGATCAACCTACTGTTTCAACTTTATTAGAAATACCGGATAATGCAAACAACCTAACTGTAACCTCATTATATAAATCTGACTTCCTCAATCATCTGGATAGACGTTAATATTGCTTTTAATTTCGAAAGAAGATTTTGACTTCACACAGATAAAGAACTATAGACCTCTATCATTATTGAATGCTGATTGTAAATTTTTTGCATCAATAATGGCAGAGAAATTAAAAAGATTTCTGAATGAATGTATCCACCCAGATCAAAATGGGTTCCTTCCAAAAAGACAAATTAAAAACAATGTAAGATTTATACTAGATACATTGGACTATTATGAAATGCGCTGGGAAAAACAAATGGTGCTGATCTATAAACTGTATTTAAAATTACATGTCTTGCCTGCAGCAAGAATTATATTTGCACAGTACTGGAGAAATGAGGAAACTCCTATAGAAGATGATGTAATTAAAATAAAATGTAGATTGTGCAGAAATGGATAGACTGACACTAAATGGTTGCATAGCAGACGTAGAAATTAGGAGTGGGAAAAGCATTATTCTATAAAAATTTATCCACACTGTTCAGTAAGCACTTATGTATGTAATGTGAAAATATATAAATAAATTGTTAAAAACGAATATAAATCTGAGTTAGCTCTTCTTACGATGATGGTAGGAATATCACCCTCCCAGTGCAACTAAAATAAATGTATCAAACAGATTCACAATTTTTAAGAGGTCAAATTTGGGACTTTTGCGTTATGGACATTAACAAGGCTGAGAATTCTTCAAGGGAAAAAAAGATATGATAGCTATTTCAGTGAGGGAATATTTAATTGGGGAAGATTTGCTTCAGACCAATTTACAACGTCTAACAGAACAAATTTTGGACCTTTTTTATGGGTATAAAAATGCTGAGAACTTCTTTAGGAAAAAAGACTTGATAGAGTCTGCAGAGAAGAAAAAGAATCTATTCTATGAAGGTAAGCTGGAGGAATGACTTAAATATGGTTTCATTAATTAGGATGGTTTCTTTTTTAAAAAAATGATACATGTACTGTTGGAAAGCTTTAAGTTAGTTATGTATTTTTAAAATGAGTACGTAGCTTTAAATAGGTCTGATGGTTACATTACTTAAATGCTGAACAATATTCTAAAGTTGATAAAATATTATGGACTATGTTTGAAAATATGAGACGAAATGATACATTATTCCCCACAGCAAAGAGAAATTGTGATGGCGAAAATGATTCTTTTATCCAAATAAGAAATTATATTTAATTTTGTCTCTAGCTTGAAATTGCTTTTGGATTTTCTGTTTGAAATGAGAGGGAAAATGAAACTTTGATTCTCTTTTTGTAAACTAGACAGGCTTATTGTGACAGAAATAATTTGTACATTATGTTGTGTAAAAGCAATATGTTATGGCTCTAATATTGTTACCTTCAACTGTACCAAAGAGTGTCAAAAGTTGATGCCTTTTTCTTTTTTNCTAGTTTTGGTAGACTCCTTTTTTTTCTATGGATCTGGTGCTTAATGCCTATTCTTGCACTGCTATGATCAGTGCCTCAGTGCTGTCTTTTAGTCCAGCTTTTTCCAGCAACTGGTAGAATGTCCCAGTATCTGAAATATCAGCTATATGTCCCTTCATGAAGTATCTGATATATCCCTATATGTCCCTGAGGTTTAGAAACCTTAGCTGGTGCAAAATGCAGCAGCAGGAACAGTTATGTGTACTCTTAGAACAGCACTTGTTTTACCTAAGCTCTGTGAGCTGCATTGGATGCCAGTTTGCTGCTGGGTCCAATGTAAGGTGTTTGCTTTAATTTTTAAAGCCTTTTATGCCTAAGATATTTCAGGGATCATCTTTCTCTGGTTACATCACCCATTCTGGGTGACTTATAATAATCAAATCAAACAACAAATAAAAAAAGAACAGATGTCTCTCACTGTCTGTCTCTGTCTCTCTGCCTCTCTGTCTCTGTCTCTGTCTCTCTCTCTCTCACACACACGCACACACGATAGAGCCAGTTTTGTCTAGTTATTAAGGCACCAGGCTAGAAAGCAGAAATGAGTTCAAGTTTTGCTTTAACTATGAAAGCTAACTGAGTAATTTTGGGCCACTCACTCTCTCACTCTCAGCCCAACCCACTTCACAGAGTTGTTGTTGGGAAAATAGGAGGAAGAAGGGTGTTTGATATGTTTGCCAGCTCAAGTTATTTGTAAAAATAATAAAGGAAGGGCACAAATAAATGCACTACAAAATAAAAGCACCCCATTTTCTTTATTCATTTTTCCTGATAATAGCAATAACACTTAGACTTATATACTGCTGCACAGTGCTTTAGTGTCCTTTCTCAGCGGTTTACAGAGCCAACCTATTGCCCCCAACAATCTGGGTCCTCATTTGTTCTGATATAAAATTGAAAAATCATGACCTT